TTAACATGTGTCATACTAAAATATATAATAATATATACTCCCTCCTATTTTTATTATTTGTCACTTTGGCTTAATTGATCATTGATAAAATAAATGTTGTTTTAGATATTTTGTTCATATTTTTTCATTTTTAACACTGCATCTAATACACAGTGTCTCTTCATATCTCATCCTATAACATCCATTAAATAGGGTTAAAAAGAATCTTAATTAGTGTGTTTGAATTGATATTATGAAGTCCGTTTGTATTTTATTATATATATAGGATATGGTTCAAATGAGAACCAAGTCTTAACGTGAAAACCGTGTGAATCGCTATTTTTAATTGAATGTAGTGCTATGATTGATTGTATTTTAGTGCTATTTTTAATTAGGATTTATTTTATCAAAAATAGCAACACAATTTATGTTAGCATTTGTGAAAATGATAGCACCATGTAAAATTAAAATTAGCATCATACACAATTAAAAGTAACATCAAATATGGTTCTCACGATTCTCACACCAGGATTAGTTTTTATTTGAACCAACCTTATTTTTAATAAATGTCGTTTTGAGAAGTTGCACAGTAATTAAGAATATATTTTTTGCCAATAATAACCCTCATTAATGAGGATAGAGATGAACGTTTTGAGAAAAGATGGTGAGTGAATATGAAAAGACGTAGTGTATTTATTAGTTAGATGAGGGTAATAATGGAAAAATATGTATAAAATAGCCAAAACGACATTTATTTAACAAATGATCAATTAAGCCAGAATGACAAATAATAAAAATAGGAGGGAATATATATTATACAAAACAGTAATATATATCCTTATAAATAAAATTTAAATTTATTTATCAAACTAAATTAAATTATATCAAATAAAACAATAAATTATATTATAAAGTAATAGAAATTGGTATGTATTCTTTTAGAAATAATATTTATTTCAAATCTAATTGGTATGTTGTCAATGTAATAAAGATAAATAATTATTTATATAAATTCTAAAATTACATAAAAGTTAAAAAACGGTGAAGCACGATTGATACGACATTTGATGTATTACGCATCTAAGTAAGTAAAAAAATTAATTTATTTTAGTTAATATTAAATAAACATATTCTACACTTATGCATATACATATCACCATATTATTTCTATTTATTTAAGATATATATTTTTATACTTATGTAATAGTAAATAATATCGATATTTTTATATGATGTAAGTAAAAAAAAATTCAATACGGGATGATATTTTCATTTAATGTACGGGTGTTTAATGATTATGATTAAAAAATATAATTTAACAATTTAATTAAAACCAAAAGTAATGTTTTATATAAAATTAAATTATTTAGTTTTTAAAAAAATAAAAAAATTAATATATTTTACAAAAACTTTCTAATTCAACACCTGTGTAATACACGAGTATTGTATTAGTAACACATAAAATAAAAAAAAAAAGTAATTATTATTCGGTCTTGCTAATGTGAAAAAAAAAAATATAATATGATGCAGAATAGACATGCTTGCTTTAGATGGAAAAGCGAGACAAGTGACAATACTCTTCATGCACTAGTGCTTGTAAAGTGGCAAACTTTTTTATCGTATATGAAAATTATGAGCTTATCCAACACAAGAATAAAAAGGCTGTCCCTTGCCTAATAATATTTATCACTAGCTAATACTGAGGTTAACATTCAAAATATTATTGTATTTTTTTCCTTACATGACAATAGACGTTGAAGCTTACAATTCATCTTATTGAATCTACATAATTGTATAATATTTTCATGAATCATAAACAATGTTCACGGTGTCCAATTTTAGATATCTATCCAAGAAGTGGGCTTGTGAACACATATTTAAACAAAAACAGATACACGTTCATATAGGTAGAATGTGTTGTTAAAATTACAATTGCTGGGCTACCAAAGTGAATGATGCTCCAACTCGTTTCATTATGAGAATGTAGTTTCTAATCCGAAAAACGACCCTAACTTTACAAAATTTTATAATTACATCATAAGATTATTGAACACATTATAAGTCCTAGCACTTTCTAACACAAACATAAAATCTATACCCCCTTGTATCAAATGAAAAGAAAAGCTTCCTTCAAAAGTTTGGACATAAAGAGAATTAATTTCATAGTTTGACTGTTTTTTTTTACATTTATAGCTCCAAGCAAGATTGTAACTGTATTGGAAATTTGGAAACCACGCCTAGAATTGTACCTCAATTTTTTGTGATCATTTAATGGCTAAATATCAAATTTTAAAGTAATTATGTACTCCATATTTTTGTTCCATATATTTGGGAAAGGAAATCATCAGTACACGTGTAGTCTCCCCACCTCCAAATGCCATGGCGCTGTACCAGCAAGAAGAACTATATGAAAAAAATATGGAAAAGATCTTCTTTATCGTAAACCACACTGTTTCTTTTAATGAAACACAAAAACTATACGGATATGATAACAGTAAGGTCCTGAAAAATTTATTGGGGACCATTATTATTTTTTTCTTATATCTATGAAATAGTTACCTTTGCTTTTCACACTTTAATATGTAGGGGGTCATGATTCCAATATAACTAAGCTAGTCTTTTCAAGATTTTCTTATATTTTTAAAGGTATGTATATATTTTTAAATATATGTAGCTAAATGATGTTAGAATATACACTTGTGAGTTGTCCCACATCGTCTGGACAGAGAAAATAGGCCTTAACTTATAAGTCTATTGGGCTACTCCTCCTATCACCAATTGGTTGCGCTTTGTCCGTGGGACCGCACCCGTCAACCCCGTTTGTCAAATGACCAAAAACAGGATAATTTTATGTCATTATAAGTCATAATTATTTAGTAATTTATTTTGGGACAAAATGGTAACAATAACTTTAGAATACCTTTAATTTAAATTTGGAAATCTCGTGGAAATGGTGGAGGATGCTTAGGAAAAAATTATACTGATGAAGAATTTTTGTTATCTTTAGTTCCTTCAAATATTTTGTACTATAAATTCAAGATTGGCCCGTTGAATTAGGCCCAGTATATCAAAGGCGACAGGGCAATTGGTCTAAACCTTTTTGAAGCACGAACTTTCAAATATGGCACTTTGTCAGGAATCAGGACCAATATATTTAGACTACATTATCTTGGTTTGGCTAGAAACATAATAAAAAATGTTCTAAAATATATTCATTAATTAACTTACCTAATTATATTATAATTTAAGCATTAATAAAATTTTAAGTTTGTACATAATATTGTGAATCGCCAGAAATTCCAAGTCTACTAATGAAAAATATCTCCAAAGTTTTGGCCTCAAAATTACTAAAAATTAAGACTCCATCACACAACTTACCGAGATGACGAAGCCAAGGTGTGACATAGATAAACAAACTCTCGGAATTAAGACTCTCGGTCTTTTATGTAACATCAAAGACCAACAAAAAGAATCACCACGGGTGATGACGCAATGCTGATTGGATAATTATGAGTTCATCAATCACTAAAAAGGTGGGAAAAGAAAATAGAAAATGTGTTCACAAATTCGATCTCTAGAAAGTAGAAAGGGGAGAAGGAAATAAAAAAAAAAAAAAATTAGTGTGAATGATATCTACAAGAATCTGATCAACAAAGTTATAAGTATTGACTAAGAAGGGAAAGTTAGCGAAGACCACAAACGGGAAAAGGAGGTGAAATCATTTTAAAATGAGAAACAGTACTTTACTTTCAGTGTTTAAATAATTCAACATTTGCCACTTTTATTCGTATAGTCATCAGACTCCACTTTTGTAGGTTTTAAAATACCTGTTCTGATTGTGAAGTATTAACCGTACATAGCTAATTGTGTTACGGAGGATTGTATGAATTAGAGCTTTTAAACAAAAGGAGTTGAGTCTTAATGAACACATGTGCTAATGACAAGTCTCAATATGGTTTTAATGATTCTGATTATGAATATAAATAACTTGACCCTACAATTTAATTAAATATCACATAAAAAGTTAAAAATTGCGAAAACTACAAATAAGCATAGATAAACAAACTCTCGTACATGCTTTCAATGAATGTGATAAAGTTATCAGCTGTAGGTGCTATGAATTTGGTTTTTATTATTGAAAAAATGAAAAGAAACCAACCGCATTAAATTCTCACCTTAAGAGACACAGCAAAGCAAATGGTACAACCCCTCTTTTGGCAGACATACTAACATACAAATATTGTTTCTTTCACTTAATGTTTTTTTTTCTCCTTCAAATTTAGTACTCACTCCGTTTGCAATGTGTAAGAGTCACAAAAAACATAGAATGTGGGTGGCCAAACAGACCCGTATAGAGCACAGTTGTGGGTGGTCAATTTTAGTTTTGGACCTTGTGTTTGGATTTATATTATCCGCGTTACATATTGTATGTAATAACAATATTTTATAAATGTATATGTCTATAGTTGTATATCTTTACATAAAAACTTCCTAATCAAAGTTTACAATTATATCATATGGAGGTGGCACATAATGACCATTTTTTACTTTAATATTTCGAAAGAAAACCTAGGACAGATTTTCATTCCAGCTAACTAAACTACAAGAAGATTCAAGTTCTTCACCGGAACACATGCACACACCCTAATACTAGTGTGTTAACTCCAGCAATCTTATGTGTATAAACTAAAAGAAGATTCAATAACACGAGCTTTTCACGGTTGGATTTGGTGCCTGCACTGTAAGATAAAATCTACCCCAAACTAACCCCATTTGCGTTTATATAAAGTACAATCCTTAAAGACACTAAAAATGCCTAACCCCGTACTTATAACTATGAATATATATAACAAAAAAAAAAAA